CACCACACCTGGCTCTTGGTGATTTTTTTTTTAAAGAAAATTCAAAATCAAAGAATTACATCAAGAAAAATTAATCAGAATGCCAAAGGCCACCAAAAAGGTTGAGTAAGAGGATCTAATAATAGTTAGCACTAGATTTGGCTATCCAAAGATCATCATTGATTTATTTATTTGAATGATGTTAAAGGAATGAAACAAGGCCACAGAGGGAGGCCTAGACCATATCAGAGAAGAATGTTTCATATCAATTGAAATTTTTCATTATTATTTCTTACCTTTTATCTGTGTTCTTACAATTACTCCAGAAAATTTGAGACCAAAAAATTTACTAAAGCATCCATTCAGGAGTGCACTAAAGCTGGAGTCATAATGATGTTCGCTCTGGACCCCAAGGATGTTGAGTATCTCTTCACAGGCTCTGGTGATTCTCTCTAGAAGTGCTCATGGGAATAGAATGTCTCTTTATACATTCTTTGCAATCAAATGCTATGACTTTCTATTATATCCTCCAAAGTGCCTTCTTTTAATAAGAACTGTATATGTACATATTGTTGGTTTAAGTGAAATGACTCCAAGAGAGCAAACTTTTGATATCCTACTTTACTATACTGATGGCCATCTTTATGAGCATCTTGTGATAATTCTAAAATGGTTTTCACATATAGCCGAGATCTCTGAAGCCTACAAATCTCTATACTAAAATCTCAATTTTTCTAATACCGTACATGTATAAAAGAAAGCTATGATAATTCTTTTATATTGCAACTATTGACAGAAACAGTTCACTCTGAGAATACAATAGGGTATTGAGATTATTGTGTTAATGATGGTGTGACTGAGAAATAAAACACAGGAAATAAAACTACATGCTTATGAATAGCACCAAAGAAAGACTAAACCAAATGTATATCTGATGTAAGAAATGCTAGCAGAATAGCAAACTGTTACCAATGAGAGTGAATAATCATCACTGTACTTGCTAAAACTGTTCTACAGAGTCCAAAATATGAATTTCATGGTAGCCTTTTCGCACTGTGTGAACAGTTACAAAAATATACACTAACCAATCAGAACCTAGAGCGAAGTAAGCTGGGTACACATGAAGAAGCTTGCTGGCTCTCATAGTAAAATGATGTTTTGAATCCAGAAATTTAGCATATCACATGGCCAAAGCTGATGGATTTTAGACTGATCAATCTGGAAGTTAGGGGCCTTGCTCAGCACCACCTCATTTTCCTTGGAGATTTAAGGGTATATAAGTTTTACATTCCTTCTGCTTTTCTTTGATGAATGCTAGAACATCTGTGTAGTTCCACTTTAGAGTGCATTTAGTTCAACTCAAAACCTGTCTGTCACTATTCAAAACTATTTTTTCCACCTAGATTGCTTTAGAACATATGTAAAGACTGTTCAATGTCACTAGTATTTGACTAATGATAGACTGTGTGCTCCAGAACAGCAGGAATGACTGCCCTATTTGGTTACTATTTTCCTCAACTGCCTGAGACATGACCTGAAATAATGCATGTAGATCAAAGGAAAATGTCCAGTTCTGTGAAGTCGCTCCTTGAACCAGATTAGTATTTGAAGAAGATGGCTAATCCCACTACAGAAAGGCTTTTCTGTGGAGAAGCAGTACCAGCACTTCCAGGTATTCCTGAAACATACTGTCCTACTAAAACAACATTCTAAGAAATGTCTGAGTTCCTGATATTTGTGAACTAAATGACTGAACAGCTGAAAATGAATATTATTCTAAATCAGTGGTTAATAAACAGCTTTGTAGAATAACACACCTTCATAATTTGAGGACTTACCAGACCATAATTCTGCACTATCACCTGACCCTTGCCAAGCAAAGGAGAAGAGGATGATTGAACCATCCATATAGACTTGCTGGTGGCACTGCGTGTGCAGCTCGTGTTAGCAGCCCTGAAACTCTAACACCTCTCCTTGAACAACAGAAAACAACTATTCAAAGAAATAGAATGCCTCAAGTCACCATGTACAGCTACATAAGCACTCTAGAGTTCAAAACAGTGTTCCCAACTTTCTAAGATGTGTAACAGTTCCAAGAAACAGAGAAGAATAGAGAAAACCCCACAATGCTGACATTATTTCTTGTTTACGCTCTGGCAGTTCTACACTGATTCCTGTAAATACCTCCTATCTGATCATTCTTTCAGAAACAAAGTGAAGTCACCATTAACATTACTCCCAGAAAAACAGGAGTAAAGCAAGATAGGCTTTTCTGAGTTATTTAGGCAAAGTACTTGTTTAACTATATTTTACCAAAATATTAACCACATTGGTGGTTTTATGATAATGTGCTCTAAATCAGAATGATCTGTCATTAGCTTTTTCACATGAACCAGTCAGTCCATCAGTATGTATTTACCATGTTTTATCATGTTTTACCATGTGTTTTACCATGAGAATAATGAAGGAATATACTACAGCCAAAATGCAAATGATCTTCTCTTTATATTGTTTAAATTGTTTCATAAATGAATTTAACTTATTAAAATACTTGGGTATGGAAAATATGGTCAATTTTTTTAAAAGTAGCTGTAATTCTGAGGGAAAAAAAATGACCAACATACACCATACTAGGTATAGAGTCACTTGAAATCACAATTCTTTAAGTAAAAGTATTTAAAATCTAAAAAAGTTATTTTTAATTTTTTGCAATAGCTTTAGATTCAACCAGATGAGGTGAGTAGATAAGAGTACAATTAATATTTTTATAAATGTTCCTGTATTTTATAAATCACAAAGAGCTAGTCTTTAAAGAGATATAGGTAGTTTTTTTTTTCTTAATACTCATGACCAGCAACTCTACTTCCCCTCTGCAACGCACTGACCCAAGGATGACCCTGCTGTCATCAAATCTTTCCTTTTTGTCATCATCTTATTGGGTGAAAAGTGGGAGGGAAATAGATTCAGAGTACTAATACCCTATAATTAGTCTCAGTCACTTATCTTGGGTCTTCTCTACAGCTAAGAGACCAAGCAAGACCTACTACCAAGCTAGACCTGAGGGCCCAAGTAAAGGTAATGCTTCTGAACTAAGCAGAGCAATTATTCGGTATAGTAGTTACTTTAGATATCACCAAGGTTATTTGAAATCACATTTTCTTTCTTTTCTTTCCCCTATTGTTAATCTTGAATACACCTAAGCATCATTTTAATATCAGTTTTAAATATAGACATTAAATTTTTGATGGTGTTATGATCACATTTATTTTGAACTTTACTTTGGCTTAAAGTCTAGGTTTGATATTGGCTAAATTATTTAAGACATTGTGAATCCTAATAAAGGTACTTACAATAAACCTATTTCTATACAAATAGAGTTCATTTCTTAGAAAGTTTGAACTATAACAATTATCCAGATTAGTCTATTAATTACCTTTAAAACTATCTAAAAATTCTAGTTTTATTTGTTATAGTACAGTTATTCTATTAAAGCACACCTTTCAAAGCTGAGGTAATCCATAAATTTACAAATTATGTCTGCTATCGTAGCAAGTGATAGAAGAAATACAAGTACTTACCAGTGAGTAACTTTTAATGTGATGTAGGATCTTACCTATGATTCCTGATTATTCTAAAAAGGAACTATCATTATTCAACAGAATGTTTTGTTTAGGTATGCATCATTTTATATGAATTGAAAAGAAGTCTGTGATTTTTACCATTGAAAGACCTTTCTTCAGATAATGATCTAAAATGTTAACTGGAAATGGTGAATTTAATAAGAACTCAAGGAAACATGTATCTGTTTAGGTTGTCCACATTTGATTCCACATGAGATAATTTCCATTCAATGGTTTCTTAGAGGTGGTTCTGAAATCAGTTTAACAATTCTACCATCTGAGACTTTTGGCATGTTTCCTTTCCCTCCTGGGTGATAGGGGCAACTGGACTGCTGATTCTGTGACACCTTTCTGAAGCTTATTTTGCAGTTACTCCAGTTTACACAGGTATGGCAATAATAATCATAGTATGACATAGTAATCATGTCACAAATGCAGTATATGCTTAAGTGTTAAAAGCTTGAAGCGTTATGCTATTACCTTAAGGATTATCAAAATTAAATAAGCAGATGTGATGTTGTGACTCTCTTAAAGACTGATGTATTTCTAAATATCAAAAGATATTAAAATTTTCATTTCTATACTTTGTATTTTTAAAATGAGATTAATCATATCATTTATGATTACCAGAAAAACATATTGAAGAAATGATTCATTTTGAGATCATTTTTTACAGGTAACAAATGTACGAAACAGGAAAGGAAAAGTGTTTACCTATGGTTACACAGACAGGGAAGACTCCAGGTTCAAATTCAGTCCTGCCACATGAAACTGTTTTCTGCCTGCAAAGTCATGCCTCACTCTAACACAGCATTAAGATCTTTACCTTTCAAGATCTAAACTTTCTAACTCTTTCTCTCCCTTTTCATATAGTACTTCAATCCAAAAAAGGCTATGGATGCTTTTAAAGCCTCTTACTTTATTTGAAATGTTTCTCTCCCTTTTAAATGTTTCTGAGCAAGCCTTGCCACACAGACTCTACTAATTCTCTGAAATAGAGATGCCTACCAATAGCAGCCCGCTTTTGCAACATTTCCACTCTTTGCAGTGGTTTGTATGTGTCACAATTCTCTCATTGCTAAAGCTGATGCTGTTTGTTGACAACACCTAGATTTCCCTTAATAATCTCAACATTTAACACAGCACTTCCTCCCATTAGAGTCATATCAAATGAATAGACTGTTGCATTTTAATGATACTTTCATATATAGTAAGCATTGAATTCAAAATACTTTTTCCTCAAGTTTACTGTTTCTATACTTTGAGGCAATAGATTTCTGCACTAACTAAGTCTTCCTATGAATTCAGCAGATTTTTTCCCTCTTAAAGAACACATCACATACAACTTGCTCCTAACTTATTAGCAATGGATTTATTTTTTAATTTTTTTTAGGTGCAAAGATGAGGAATTTTATCCTACTTGTGAATATTCTGGCATTAACTCTGCCTTTTTTGGTGAGTTAATTTCATTTAACCAATTGCTAGCAAGATGTTAAATAACTTTTATTTAAAGGCTCCAATTATGTAAATTTCAAGATATAGTCAAGCTTCAAAGAACAAAATAGTAACTTTACTAGTTTTTCCTCTATTTATATCATAAAATTAAATTCATATGCTTCTAAAAATGTTTAGTTGCCATAATTAAGAAATG